TGCATGTTTTATTTGTGTTTAAATAAAACCACAAAAACTGAAAAAAAAAAAAATAGAGCTTAAGAATTGAACAGATTGAAAAATAGAGTTGATATGTTTGCAGGGACTCAAGAGCTGTTACCATATACATTTATTTCTTAATTATTGGGGCATGTTAACATATTTGATTTATGTTTACAATATTTCTTTTCCTAGCCTTATTTGTAAAAGCACCTTCTCCTTTAAAACTTAGGAATAAATTCTACCTTTGTGGGAAAAGCTCAAGCTAATATCCTAACAGTGTTCAATTTGAAATGAAATCCTAGTGTTATGTTGTGTGCCTATAGTCCCAGCTGCCCAGGAAGCTGAGGCAGAAGTATCACCTGAGCACTCTCTCTTAAAAAAAAAAAAAAAAGAAAAGAAATGATAGATAATGCAGTACTTGCTATCTTTTTCATGTATGAATGGACTAAAGTCAATTTTAAGTTCACTTTTAGAATGTCACTTAAAATTTAAATGAAGCAGATGTTACATTAATATTATATAACTATCAAACAGTACTTTATAGATTTTTGGGTCAATTAAGGGGGACGACAAATACTCAAAAGTGCCAAGTCCTATCCTGTTTTGCCAATGACTTGTTTGTAACAGTGTGATGCTTGCTTTAGAGTCTAATCGAAGTCACCCGAGCCATACAGCATTCGTAGATTTATGAGGCTTATAAATGAACTCGTAGAAATACAGAACTTATTTTCCAAACTTTACTGATACCTCGATATATAGTTAAAAATTAATATTCTGGTTATATGCATCTAAAGAAAGCATGAACTTAAAAATGTACTCATTAAAACAATAAGAAAGCACTTTAATCAGAAAACATAAGATAGGAATATAATCAAATATATTCATTATCAGAAAAAAATGTTCTTTATTAAGACAAGTTGAATCAAACCTTAGGCAATCATTTATTGGACATTTACTAGGAGTCAGAATGTTTAGTGGTATAAAGGAGGTATGGAAAATAGTTACTAATGATACATAGGTGAAGTACTATTGAGTATGATGTTGCATCATTCCCAGAACCAGTACCTTTCACTTGTTCTACTCCTTTACTTTTTCTTTAATAGGAAGTGTTAGGAGTTAAAAGACTCGAAGGATCCTACATATAATTGTGCCTTGTCTTCTTGCAGGAAATGGAGCAGTCAATGAATATGCTGAATTCCAACCATGAGTTGCCTGATGTTTCTGAGTTCATGACAAGACTCTTCTCTTCAAAATCATCTGGCAAATCTAGCAGCGGCAGCAGTAAAACAGGCAAAAGTGGGGCTGGCAAAAGGAGGTAGTCAGGCCGTCCAGAGCTGGCATTTGCACAAACACAGCAACACTGGGTGGCATCCAAGTCTTGGCAAACCGTGTGAAACAACTACTGTAAACTTGAGTCATCGCGAACGTTGATCTCTTACAACTGTATATGTTAACTTTTTAGCACATGTTTTGTACTTGGTACACGAGAAAACCCAGCTTTCATCTTTTGTCTGTATGAGGTCAATATTGATGTCACTGAATTAATTACAGTGTCCTATAGAAAATGCCATTAATAAATTATATGAACTACTATACATTATGTATATTAAAACATCTTAATCCAGAGATCAAATCATCTTTCTTTTTTTTTTTCACTTAATGTTTCTTTTTTTCTGACAATTTTCTTCAATTATCTGAGGCTTGAAATTGACCTTTCCTGTTTGAAAGGGAGTGGTTGTTATTTTTAGACAGCATGCACATGGTTTTTTATGCGGCCACAGCTTTCAAAATTTTCAGTTCTACTGTGCCATTGAATTCCCTGATAATCTGAGGTGGAACCATATATTGCTGATGTAGTTTCAATTTCTTATTATTACAGTTAGTTTCAGAGTGTGGACATATGAATCACAATAGATCTTATCAACTTTTTTATTCGGGTTGCCATCTATGGTATTCGTTTTACAATTTTTGAGTACCAGCTATGTGCTGTGATGCAAGGTAGAGTACAGATATGGATAATATCCAAGTGCTCCTTGATAGAACTTATTATGTAGGGAGGGAGGACAAATAATAACAGAGAATGAATGGCCAGGGGAAAGAAGTACAACAGTAGGAGAGCCTTCTAGAGCCTAAGGATGGGGAATCCACCTTAGAGCTCCATATTGTAATAGAGATATATAACACAGGTAGCTTTTCAAATCCCTCATCTTTCTGATCATAGCTTCTCAGAGGTGTTAGAAGAGAAATTACTACTTTCTTTTTTTTTTTTTTTTTGAGACAGAGTTTCACTCTTGTCGCCCAGGCTGGAGTGCAAGGGCACGATCTTGGCTCACTGCAACCTCCGCCTCCCGGGTTCAAGTGATTTTCCTGCCTCAGCCTCCCAAGTAGCTGGGATTACAGGTGTGTGCCACCATGCCCAGCTAATGTATTTTTAATAGAGACAGGGTTTCACCACGTTGGCCAAGCCAGTCTCGGACTCCTGACCTCAGGTGATCCGCCTGCCTTGTCTTCCCAAAGTGCTGGGATTACAGCCGTGAGACACTGCGCCTGGCCAAATAACTACTTTCCAATCAGGAGTATCTCAAAAGTTTTTTATTTCAATAAGTTACATTTTCTTTTTTTTTTTTTGAGACGGAGTCTCGCGCTATGTCACCCAGGCTGGAGTGCAGTGGCGCGATCTCGGCTCACTGCAAGCTCCGCCTCCCAGGTTCACGCCATTCTCCTGCCTCAGCCTCCAAGTAGCTGGGACTACAGGTGCCCGCCACCACGCCCGGCTAGTTTTTTGTATTTTTAGTAGAGACGGGGTTTCACCATGTTAGTCAGGATGGTCTCGATCTCCTGACCTCGTGATCCACCCGCCTCGGCCTCCCAAAGTGCTGGGATTACAGGCTTGAGCCACCGCGCCCGGCCAATAAGTTACATTTTCACACCTTTTCCTTTCGGGTTATTTTAATTAACTCTCAGGCCACAGTATTGCTTCTAGTCAAGGGCTCCTATTCTCTCCCATACTAAAGAACTCCTGTATTGTTATTAAATCAGTGAAAAAAACCAGAGTAGGTTCCAAACTCAATTTTCTCTTTTGTATTAGGTGCTATTGTTCATTTAAAAATGAGGTACGTGTTTTCTTTTAAAGAAATAAGTTCTGGGTTGGGCATGGTGGCTCACGTCTGTAAGTAATCCCAGTACTTTGGGAGGCCAAGGCGGGTGGATCACCTGAGGTCAGGAGTTTGAGACCAGCCTTACTAACATGATAAAACCCTATCTCTACTAAAAATACAAAAAATTAGCCGGGCTTGGTGGCAGGCGCCTGTAATCCCAGCTGCTGGGGAGGCTGAGGCAGGAGAATTGCTTGAACCTGGGGGAGGTGGAGGTTGCAGTGAGCCGTCACGCCACTGCACTCCAGCCTGGGTGACAAGACTGAGACTCTGTCTCAAAAAAAAAAAAAGTTCTGATGCAGAACATTAAGTGTCTCTACATTATATACACTGTTACCAAACTGGTTAAGCTCTGAATGATTATACGGGTAAACAGGTCAATGATAGAAATAGGTCTTTTAAAATCGAGTCATTTATTGAAAATAAAGTGTTAGAACACTAGCTAAATGTCATTCATTCAACTAGTATTCTAATTTTCACTTAAAATTAGTGTTTTAGGCTGGGTGTGGTGGCTCACGCCTGTAATCCCAGTACTTTGGGAGGCCCAGGCAGGCAGATCACAAGGTCAAGAGATCAAGACCATCCTGGCCAACGTGGTGAAACCCCATCTCTACTAAAAATAAAAAAATTAGCTGGGCGTGGTGGCACGTGCCTGTAGTCCCAGCTACTTGGGAGGTGGAGGCAGGAGAATTGCTTGAACCCGGGAGGTGGAGGTTGCAGTGAGCCAAGGTCGCGCCACTGAAATCCAACCTAATGGCAGAGCGAGACTCTGTCTCAAAAAAAAAAAAAAAAGTGTTCTAATTTTCACTTTAACATTAAGTTTAAAAAAAGACATTCTCCTTTGTAATTTAAAGGAGACATAGTAAGAGTCATATGACCAGAAATCATGTTTTAAAATGTCATAATTTACCCTGTGACATGTGTTTATCTGTGTAACAAACCTTCACATGTACCCTCAAACTTAAAAAATAAATAAAAATTTGATAATTTAGATTGTCAATATTTGCACATGGAACACCTAATGACTAAGAAATTAGGAAGCACTTTGAAGGAAATTACCATTTCATATGCTACATAAGAAACTGTGGTTATTTTACGTGGATTCTAACAGCATCTGAATATAATATATATCCCTTATACATTATATATACCCCTTATCATATTACCTCTGAATATAATATATACCCCAATGAAATGTTGTATCAGTTGTGTATGAAAATCTTATATATTCATAGAACCATCATAAAATGCTTAAGGTGCTTACAGGCACAGAAATGACTGTATATTATTAGACAATATGGGGTTTAGTGCAGAGCCCCTGGTTAGCTGCTAACTTGCTTTGTGACTTTGAGCAAGTCACTTTCCTGGACCATGTCTTGTCTTGGTCTTTGTTCTATCTCTAGCATCTAGCATATAGGCACACCAATAAACGTTTGTTGGATGAATAATAAATGGACCTTAAGTTTCCTCATCTATACATGGAAGGATTTGGATTAGACCTGTAAATTTCTTTTTGAAATTTCAAATTTGAAATCTCAAATTCTGTTATACTTTTAACCCAGTCCTAGTATTTCCTACCCTTAAGAACCATATGATCATTGCTGGCTTCCTTATTTTACTTCATTGGGTTCTTTCTGCTATTTCCCATTTGGAACAAAGTATTGTTTTGCTCTTCTTTAGAGCCTTTGTTAGATTTGGTTTATATGTATCTCCTTTTGTTTATTTATTTTAAAAAATTATTTTATATATATAAAATTTATTTTTCTTTGAGACGGAGTTTCACTGTCACCCAGGTTGGAATGCAGTAACGTCATCTTGGTTCACTGCAGCCTTCGCCTCTTAGGTTCAAGCGATTCTCCTGCCTCAACCTCCCGAGTAGTTGGGATAACAGGTGAGTGCCACCACCCCTGGCTAATTTTTTGTATTTTTAGTAGAGATCGAGTTTCACCATGTTGGCCAGGCTGGCCCCAAACTCCTGACCTCAAGTGATCCACCTGCCTTGGCCTCCCAAAGTGCTGGGATTACAGGCATGAGCCGCCATGCCTGGTCACTATGTATCTTCTTTTAAATGTAAAATTTATGTTTTACAATTTTTCACATCTACTGAATTAAATCTGAATAGTGACTTTGTGCAAAACAAATTTTGCTGTCCATTATTGCCAAAAAGTCCTGAGCGTCCAGGATGATTTCTCCAGGACATCTCTATTGCTCCCAAGTTTCAAACCGTTTTTTAGGAGCCAAAACCTCAGGATTTTACCTAACCTGCCCTGAGTAGAAAACCATCTTACCATTTTTCCCTTATGATTTCTCTGACAGGAGGGCAGATACTATCATACAGCATACTTCTCAGTAGTTGGAAGGGTTTGAAGGGCCTGATAAGCAATGTCCATAAAGATAAAGGAGAGCTTTTCATTTAAGTAGTCACTCAGACTTTCAGGAAGTTTTGAGTGTTTTTTGTTTCTTTTTTTTTTTTTTGAGACAGAGTCTCACTCTGTCGTCCAGGCTGGAGTGCAGTGGCGCTATCTCAGCTCACTGCAACCTCTGCCTCCCAGGTTCATGCCATTCTCCTGCCTCAGCCTCCCAAGTAGCTGGGACTACAGGTGCCAGCCACTACGCCGGGCTAATTTTTCATATTTTTAGTAGAGATGGGGTTTCACTGTTTTAGCCAGGATGGTCTCGATCTCCTGACCTTGTGATCCGCCCACCTCGGCTTCCCAAAGTGCTGGGATTACAGGTGTGAGCCACCACACCCGGCTTGTTTCTTTTTTTTTTAAGTGCTCAACTAGAGTACCTTCTGTTTAAAAACTGTTACTGAAAATATTTTTATTAAATATTTTAAACCACTATTTTCATTTTTGCTTGTTGCCTTTCAGATCACATATAGACATACATTTGCATGGTTGCAATTATGTGTGTACCATTTTGTATTTAAACCCAGGAAAAATTCTGCTAAGCACCAATTTCAGGTAACACAATAGAAGCTAGTGAGCGAGTCCTTTAATTCAGTTCAAGGAGTATGTTGAGACAGGGCCAGTTGTACTGAGCTCTTCTGCAATTTAGGTGTGATTGTTTTCATTATTTAGAGTTTTCCAAAAAATTTATAAAGCTGGTGAGAATATCCATTTGGTTTAAATGTTTCTTTTATTCAGGAGAACTTGAAGGTAGCTTTGGTAAAATTCAAATGGTGTCTGTAAATTATGGATATTGTTTTTATATTCTTGGTAAAAGATGAAGTATTTAAAATTTTAAAATGCTCCCCAAATAGCTCCAAATATTAGCTTATCTCTTTTGTTCATGGTAACACGACCTTAGTATGGGCGCCTAGGGGAACTGAAGCTTTCCACAGTGGCTTCTGTCTGGTAGGACTGAGCCAGCCAGGCAAGCAACCCTGAGAAGAAGAAGGAGTAAATTAAGGTCAAACAGTAAACTGGAGGAATGAGTGGAACTGTAAAAACCAGCTATACACAGCATTTCCACAGAAAACTGTTGACAAGGCATTTAATTCCACTGAAATTTAATAATCTATTGATTCATATTTGTACCTCTTTTAGATAAATTTTATTTTATTTTATTTATTTATTTTATTTTTTGAGACGGAGTCTCGCTCTGTCGCCCAGGCTGGAGTGCAGTGGCCGGATCTCAGCTCACTGCAAGCTCTGCCTTCAGGGTTTACGCCATTCTCCTGCCTCAGCCTCCCGAGTAGCTGGGACTACAGGCGCCCGCCACCTCGCCTGGCTAGATTTTTGTATTTTTTAGTAGAGATGGGGTTTCACCATGTTAGCCAGGATGGTCTTGATCTCCTGACCTCGTGATCCGCCCGTCTGGGCCTCCCAAAGTGCTGGGATTACAGGCTTGAGCCACCGTGCCTGGCCTAGATAAATTTTAAATCAAAATTTTCATATATATGAATGTAAATTTATTTCATTCTCTTTTAAAAATATTTAAAAATAATATATAGAGATTGATTATATTCAGAGTATACAATGTGATTATTTGATGTAGATGTATTATGACTACCACGATCAAATTAATTAACACATCCGTCATCACTCATGATGTAGTTAAGATCCCTGAAAGTTGTTCATCCTATAATTGAGAGTTTGTACCCTTTGTCCAGTATCTTCCCATTTCTCCTACCCCTCAACCCACCATTTCATTCTCTGCTTCCATGAGTTTAATTTTTTTAGATTCCACATATAAGCGAGATAAGGCATATAAGTTCTCGAGTTTATAATGATTAATATTCTTACTTTTCAGATGAGGAAACAGGTTAAACAATTTCCCAAACTCATCAGTGGGTAAGTGGTCTTAATCTGGAGAAAACTGTTAACTACTTTCTATAGTACTGCTCTCACATGCTAAACTGAAAAACATTAATATACCCATAGTCAACACATGGTATACATCTCTTCCAACCTGTCCACCCTCCTCCTACCTCTATTGGCATGATCTAGGGACTGGTCTCTCTCCTTCAAAACTCTCCTTAGAGAGAAAGCAGTGGTGTAGTCAAGAGAAATTGACTTCCAAGAGAAAGTAGTTGTAGTCCTAGTTTCTGGTAACTGGAGCTTTAGACACTAATCTTAAAGATGTTTCTAAAAGGCAAATCTGATGGGGTCACTCATCAATTAAACCCTGTGTTGACTCTCTTGGACTTCAAGACAAACATCTTTGGCCCCTGAACACAGTTCCTTCAGACTCACTTCTTGCCACTTCCCTATATATCTTAAATTATTCACAGTTCCCCTCTGAAAACTCCATGCTCTCTCACCTCTGAACCTTTTTGAGTATCTCTTCACCTTAGCTTTCTACCCCATGCCTATTCTTTTCCCTTATCAACCTCTAACATCTTTTTTAGGACTTTCTACAGAAATCTTCCAGATGCTCATGAGGATCAGATAAGAGCCTCTTTGTCCCCCTTCATGCCCGCGCTTATCTTATTATATAGATACCACTTCATTTTCTGAGAGTACTTGTCTACTTCTCTGACCTCCCTACCTGGACCCTAAGCTCCTTGGACTATAAAGCACCAGTAGTACAACAGTCCTATCCTCAAGGAAGGGTAGGAAGAATATTAATCTCTCCTCTAAAATAGTTCTGGGGTGGCTGCCGTACATACAGCTCTATCATAGTGTTGGGATCCTAACTCAAATCATTAGACAAGCACAGACATCAGAGACCCATGGTGAATTAAGTTTGTACTTTTCAGGGAATCACAAAGATACTAAGAATACAGGAAGAAACAAAAACCAGGAACCTTGCCTTGTAACCATCTCCTTTCTCAGGTAAGCATACTTATTTAGTACAGAATACATTGTGAAGTACCTATGCCACATATGTGCCAAGGGCTATTAGGTGAGGCGACATGATCATGAGCACAATAAGCATGAACTCTGACTTCAGAGCTGAGCATTTAGAGGGAGACACAGACACTGAATCAACCAAACACACATAAGTATCAAATGAAAACCTTGATAGATGCTACCAAGAAAAAGTCATTTATAAGCTCATAAATGGGGAACCGGAATGGGTGGGTAGAGGGCAAATGTAAGAGCACTTCCATTAAAAAGTGACTCAGAGGTAAGATTGAAAGACTAGGAATTACTCAGGCTGAGGCTGAGAAGAGGGGGATAAGAATGAGGTGCTTCCTAGTCTGAGCTGAAGTGGGGGTGGGCCTGGAGCTTGGCTCTTGAAGGAACTGAAAGAACAGTACAGCTGGAGAGAAGAGAGGCAAAAAAGGTAGGCAGACATCGCCTGGTTGCATTGCAGGCCTGAACTCACCTTATCTTCTGGAGGACAATACCTTGATTCTCTCTGGAAAAATCGTGAGGGAAAGCCCTGTGTATGGTGTTCAGTGTGCTTGAGACGATGAGATGGAACTGAACACAGACTGGGAGCCAGGCCAGCTTGGGTTTGAATCTTGTGAGTAACATGGTAGTGACTGTGGCTAATGATCATTAATAATAAGTAAAGTGCTGAAGTCCTAAGGCTCCTTCCAATGACTCCTGTCACTTCCAGTCACTTCTAGTTGAAGCCTAGAGGTAATTATTCACTTTACCAAAGGATTCACTATAAGCATCTTTTAAATAGTACCCCCTAAGGCACCTAAAATAGATGTGATTGACACAGGCAAATCATGCAATTCTGGAGGGACTCCCTCTTAAGGAGACCTGAAGCTGGCTGTGACTGGCTGTGATCATCTGGTCATGATATACTGATAACAGGTCTCTGAGCAAACTAGTATATGAAAATCATTGCCAAGAAAGCCTAGAATCTTTAGTAGAAATCTCAGAGTCCCAGAAACTTTGAGAGAATATGTTAGTTGGAGGGAAAATAAGCCTTGTCTTCCCTCCTTCTTTGTTCTCTGCCTACCTCTGGCCCAACCTCAAATCTTTAAATTTAAATGATGTGGCCCAGCAGAGGCCAGTGGCATAAAGATGGTTTCTCTCCCTCCATTCTCTTTGGAGCTGGTGGGAACTGGTTGGAAGGGAGGTTTCTGCTCTTTTCTAAAGCCTCTCAGAGCTCTCCTCATTCCTGGTAGGCCCTCAGCACTCCTACTGTGAACCAGCTGCTCCCGCCTTGAGACTCTGTCTTCACTGCTTTAAGCTGTGCTGTAATGTGTGTGATTGTATGTATTTGATTTTGAAAATTTGGAGAATTCTATGGAAAACTCTAATTTCTTTGTATTTCTACCTGACCTCTGCTCCTCCCTTGAGAAGGAGTTGGATTATGGAATAAGAAGTTTAGGGTATATCTAGACCGGGCAAGTCTTCTTTCTGAAAAGCACAGTACCTTGGCACATAGTCCAGGAACTGGGAACCAAACTGGAAAAAAAAAAAAAAAAAAGATCAGAGGCCTGTGCTTGTGAGATCCTGTGAGTGGAATGTTGGATGTTATCCACATTCTTCTTGTCATTTCCTCAGTCACCCTTCCTCTTCAAGCCTATATGTTTAGGCTTCAGTGCTAGTTTTCCTTCTGTGCCAAACAGCAAGGAATAAGAGGCCTGGAGAAGGAAAATGCTTGATCTTGGGGAGGAGCATGGCCTTCAGCCACCACTGGGGCAATTTTCTTTGTAGTTGCTGTAGTTGTTCCATCCAGCATTCTGTTAGTCTATGTCCCTAGAGGACAGGGACAGTGTCTTATTCCCTTCCACATCCCCAGGCTTTCCAAATAGATCAATAACTATTTGCTGAACAAATGAGTAACCAAACAAAGGAGTAACTAGATTGCCTAGCTGGTGATTCTTGGATATAAAAAGATGGTAAATGATACGGTCTGGCTCTGTGTCCCCACTCAAATCTCATCTTGAATTGTAATCCAAATTGTAATCCCTACATGTTGAGGGAGGGACCTCGTGGGAGGTGATTTGATCATGGGGGCAGTCCCCCCCATGCTGTTCTTGTGACAGTGAGTTCTCATGAAATCTGATGGTTTTATAAAGGGTTTTCCCTCTCTTCACTCTGCATTTCTCTCTCCTGCTGCCATGTGAAGAAGGACGTGTTTACTTCCCCTTCCACCATGATTGTAAGTTTCCTGAGGCCTCCCAAGCCATGTGCAACTGTGAGTCAATTAAATTTCTTTCCTTTATAAATTACCCAGTTTCAGGTAGTTCTTTCTTTTTTTTTTTTTTTTTTTGAGACGGTGTCTTGCTTTTTCGCCCAGGCTGGAGTGCAATGGTGTGATCTTGGCTTGGCTCACTGCAACCTTCACCTCCTGGGTTCAGCTGATTCTCCTGCCTCAGCCTCCTGAGTAGCTGGGACTACAGGCATGTGCCACCATGCCCAGCTAATTTTTGTATTTTTAGTAGAGACAGGGTTTCACCGTGTTAGCCAGGATGGTCTTGATCTCCTGACCTCGTGATCTGCCCGCTTCGGCCCCCCAAAGTGCTGGGATTACAGGCGTGAGCCACCACGCCTGGCTGCAAGCAGTTTTTTTTTTTTTTTTTGTGAGACAGTCTCACTGTGCCACGTAGGCTGGAGTGCAGTGGCACAGTCTTGGCTCACTGCAATGTCTGTCTCCCAGATTCAAGCAATTTTCCTGTCCCAGCCTCCAGAGTACCTGGGATTACAGGCGCATGCCACCATGTCCAGCTTATTTTTGTATTTTTAGTAGAGACGGGGTTTCACCATGTTGGCCAGGCTGATCTCGAACTCCTGACCTTGTGATTTGGCCTCCTAAAGTGCTGGGATTACAGGCGTGAGCTACTGTGCCTGGCCAGGCAGTTCTTTATAGCAGCTTGAGAACAGACTAATACAGTGAAGAAAAAAGGACAGAAAGGTTGAGGCATTTGCAGAAGGTGGCACCAGTGAGAAATAGAGAAAGAACAAATGATTGTGGGTAAAAATAAAACAAGAGTTACTGATTTTGAATGAAACATATTCATTGTGGGGATAAAAACCCTAGCACTTTTATTAGCACCTTTAGGAAATTTGTCAGGATCAAGTGATTCATTCATCCAGGTTATAAAAATAAATAGCCTAAGGTCCTTTTTTCCCCCTACCTTTATGTATCTGGAAGGAACCTAAGGTCTTTATTATGGCTTATTTTGAGATCTAAACCCTTATGGCTCCAGAAAGGTGATGGTGGGAATTAGGGAAAACAATATTTTTTGAAGAATTTTTGAGTTGGACTCTCCGCATATATACCTTCATCTAGGCTCAAGACGTGCAGAACTAAAGACTCCAGAGGTGCTCCTTGTGCACATAGAAGGAGTTTGAAAATTTGGCTCCATACTTCTAGTTTTCTGTATTTTTTCATGTGAGGAGAGCAGAGGCAAACATGTATTTGAAATATACTAGGTAACGGTCCTATGCTGGTAGAGACTGCCTTGTCCTGCCAGGTCTCTGTAATGTAGTTAAGGCCACTGCATATCTCTGCAGTGGTGTTTCTGAAATCCTTTCCATTCATTCATTCATTCATTCATTCATTCATTCATTCATTCATTTGAGATGGAGTCTTACTCTGTCGCCCAGGCTGGAGTGCAATGGTGCCATCTTGGCTCACTGTGAGCTCCGCCTCCTGGGTTCACGCCCTTCTCCTGCCTCAGCCTCCCAGATGGCTGGGATTACAAGTGCCCGCCACCAAGCTCAGCTACTTTTTTGTATTTTTAGTAGAGACAGGGTTTCACCGTGTTAGCCAGGATGGTCTCAATCTCCTGACCTTGTGATCCGCCTGCCTCAGCCTCCGAAAGTGCTGGGATTACAGGCATGAGCCACCGCACCTGGGCAATCCTTTCCATTCAATACTACCCATCACTGGTCTGCAGTTTGTTCAACTATAAAAAAGGAAAGTGTTTTTCTTGTTTGGTTGTTATTATGGATTGAATTGTGTCCCCCCAACAAACAGATACGTTGGAGTCCTAACTCCCAGTACTTCACAATGTGACTGTATTTGGAAACAGTGTGTTTAGGAGGTAATACAGGTAAGATGAAGTCATTAGGGTGGACCCTAATCCAATGTGACTGATATCCCCAAAGGGGGAAATTGAGACACAGAGACCGACACCAAAGAGAGAAGATGATATGAGGAGACACAGGGAGAAGATGGACATTTAACAGCTGAGGAACACGAGACTACCAGAAGCTGGGAGAGAGGCCTGGAACAGATCCTTCCTCAGTTCCTTCAGAGGGATCATGGCCCTGCTGACACCTTGATTTCAGACTTCTGGCCTCCAGAACTGTGAAAGAGTAAATTTTTATTGTTCTAAACCACCCAGTTTGTGGAACTGTGTTACTAGACCCCTAGGAAACTAACATAGTTATTCTAAAATTTAAATATATGTTTTTGTTTTTGTTTTTTTTTTTGGTTGTTGTTGTTGTTGTCTTTTTGTTTTTGTTTCTGTTTTTGTTTTTTTTAAAGTTCCTCTGTAGACCAGGTGCAGTGGCTCATGCCTGTAATCCCAGCACTTTAGGAGGCTGAGGTGGGTGGATCACTTGAGGTTAGGAGTTCGAGACCAGCCTGGCCAACATAGTCAAACCCCATCTCTACTAAAAATACAAAAATTAGCCAGGTGTGGTGGTGTGCACCTGTGGTCCCAGCTACTCAGAAGGCTGAGGCATGAGAATCGCTTGAACTGGGGAGGCAGAGACTGCAGTGAGCCAAAATTGTGACACTGTACTCCAGCCTGGATGACAGAACGGGACTCTGTCCAAAAAAAAAAAAAAGAAAGAAAGAAAGAAAGAAAGAAAGTTCCTACAAATGGTAATTGTTTTTTCTCAAGAATTCCCACTAGAAATAGTTCCTGCAGACTAAGCTGTACTGGGTTTATGTAACAGACATGGAAAAGGACAGAAGTAATCTCTTTCTAATCTATGTTTAGTTATGGATAAGAGCTCCCTGGCCAGGTGTGGTGACTCATGCCTGTAATCCCAGCACTTTGGGAGGCTGAGGCAGGTGGATCACCCAATGTCAGGAGTTCAAGACCAGCCTGGCCAACATAGCAAGACCCCGTCTCTACTAGAAATACCAAAATTAGCTGGGTGTGGTGGCAGGCACCTGTAATCCTAGCTACTCGGGAGGCTGAGGCAGGAGAATCACCTGAACCCGGGAGGCAGAGATTGCAGTAAGCCAAGATCATGCCATTGTGCTCCAGCCTGGACAACAAGAGCGAAACTCCGTCTCAAAAAAAGAAAAAAGAGCTCCTTACGTTACTTGAAGCCTTATGATTTTCTGCTTTTGCAGAGTTTGAATGGCCAGGTATTTTCTGCAAGATATGAGCATGAGGATTGCTAAACAGTATTTAGCAGCTCTGTTTGTTTTAAAAAGTGTCTGTACAGGCTGGGTGCGGTGGCTCACACCTGTAATCCCAGCACTTTGGGAGGCTGAGGCGGGTGGATCATGAGGTCAGGAGATTGAGACCACCCTGGCTAACACGGTGAAACCCCACCTCTGCTAAAAATACAAAAAATTAGCCGGGCGTAGTGTCGGATGCCTGTAGTCCCAGCTACTTGGGAGGCTGAGGCAGGAGAATGGCCTGAACCCGGGAGGCGGAGCTTGCAGTGAGCCGAGATCTGGCCACTGCACTCCAGAGCCTGGGCAACAGAGCAAGACTCCGTCTCAAAAAAATAAATTAATAAAACAAAAAATAAAATGAAATAAAATTACAGGTAATTTTTTTTTTTTTTTTTTTTTTTTTTTTGAGACGGAGTCTTGCTCTGTCACCCAGGCAGGAGTGCAGTGGCGTGATCTTGGCTCACTGCAGCCTCCACCTCCTGGGTTCAAATGATTCTCCTGCCTCAGCCTCCTGAGTAGCTGGGATTACAGCACACTGCCACACCCAGCTAATATTTTTGTATTTTTACTAGAGGTGGGGTTTGACCATGTTGGTCAGTCTGGTCTCGAACTCCTTACCTCGTGATCTGCCCTCCTCGGCCTCCAAAAGTGCTAGGATTACAGGCTTGAACCACCGTGCCGGGCCAAGGTAATTTTTTATTTGCTTATTTGTTTTCTCAGAATATATGTATTATTATTATTTTTTTAAAGACAGGGTCTCACTCTGTCACCCAGGCTGGAGAGAGATGGTGCCATCATAGGTCACTATAACCTTAAACTCCTGGGCTCAAAAGTTCCTCCCGCCTCAGCCTCTTGAGCAGCTAGGACTACAGGCGGGTGTCACCATGCCTAGCTAATTAAAAACATTTTTTTGGTAGAGATAAGGTCTTGCTATGTTGG